TCACCATTTCTGAGGGCTTCTCTAAACAAATTAGACTTCCTCCTGGGATCAAGCAGGAAGTGAAACTCTATCTGAGAAACAACTCAGTTGGACAGTAAGATATTCTCCTGGTGGCCCGAGGAACCTCTCACCGAGATGCATTTTGCCTTTTTCTCGGTGTCCTGAGATTGGACTACAAAGAAATTCCCTTCTCATGTATTTTTCATCCACAAATAAAAGCATTTTTTCTGTTTTCTGTCTACATCACTCATTTCCACCTGCCTCTTTTTATACCAATGACTGCTTATAAAATTCAGTTTCACATTCAAAAAAGAACAACAATTCAAAATAAATGATCATTATATACCACCTAAGGTTTCTCATCAAAATTGAAGCAACACCAAAACAACAAAATCTTACACCTGACATTATTTTCTGACCGACTATAAAGGACACTCAGACATTAGTCAGCTAGTAGCCAAGCAGCTGATGAATGAGCTAATGGTGAAACATGAATGAATCAACTGATGCCAATCAGCTAATGCACGCAGTGTTGTCTACACATATATGGATATTTTTTGGCACAAAGGGGCATATTTTCCAAACTCCAGTTTCTGTGTATGGAGCGTTTGGGAAATGACAACGTCATCACAAATTCGTGCCCATTGTTGCTTTGTTTTATGAGTCTGAAACAACAACAACAACAACAACAACAATGGCAGACTAGCACTTGGTCTAGCACTGCAAGGCCAGAAAGGTGTTAAATAACTACAGATCATTTGCTATTAGGAGAATAAGCTCATTACAGATGCTCAGTTCTTTTCTGGTATTTGATGTATGGTTGATGTAGACTTTATCGCCACCTACTGGCCCCTCTATGCTTGTTTGAAAATCTGTAAAACAAAGGTCGTTTGGACATATTTTTAATTTGTTTTAAATAGAGGGGGAAAATATCCATGCTATTTAAAGGTCCAGTGTGAAACATTTAGGAGGACCAACTGGGAACTAAATCCTACAGTGAACCAGCTACTGGAGACCAACCCTAACAGGTAAAGTGAGAAAAGTTGTGTTAAACAGCAGTTTCTCAGAAGAAGCCTCTAACTCGGCCTACTGATATAAGTGCAGCCTTCACATAAAAAGTAGAGGCCATGTCTGATGGCCAAAGAGAAGTCCATTAATCCCATTTTTCAATCCAGAAGCGAGTCGAGCTGCCTGAACAAAAGGACCATGAAAGGGACAATTTACACATTTTCATAATCATGGCTGTAACAATTCATTAGTGCCTTGCAGTGATGCTGGCAGGCAATCAGTCAAGCCTCATATCACACTTATTAAATCGTATTTGTGTGCACATTCATTAGGCTTCTCACATTTGGAGCTAAATTAAAAAAAGGAAGCACATATGTATAAAACCTGAAAATCTCATTTGCATGATTAAGAAAATCATGTTGTTTGTAAACAGCCTTCAATTAGCCATGTGAATAAATACGGGCTGGAACATTTGTTTCAAATGGAGAAAGGGAAAAAAAAGGGCTTGGCTGCCAAAACAAACCACCTGAGAAATACAGATGTAATTGGTGCTTTGACTGCATTTGAAAAGCCGTAACCATGTCAAAGTCAATCCATGGTTGGCATTGTTATGGTTTGATGTTGGAACATCTTTTTAAATTAATCTTCCTTTTACTGATATTTTGTGGTATTCAACTACTAATGCTGTTCAAACCAAGGGCTTAATTTCCAGTTCCATGATCATGGTCGACATTTGTGCTCCAACTTATTTCCTCTCTAACTACTCATTAATGTCTCTTTATGTCTGTCATCTTACTGTCCATCTGTCATAATCCGTATAATTCTGAAAGTTGATAAAAATGTTTATAAGCTTCTCTAGGTTCCCTTTCTGTAAGCTTCAGTCACACCCAGTTTTACTCCTTGGTCATTTCTATAAGGAACTCCACAAGACAAGGCTAGAGTTCCCTCTGAATAAGGCTGAGCCACCAGTGACCCCCCTCATAATGGACTGTTTTTTACCAACCGTTATTGTTTGTTTCATAAAAATTTATTAGCCCCCTGTAGCTCCCCAAATCACAATTCTCTCGCACCGCTGCCAACCTAACGCAAAATGTTAACCAAATTTCCAGAAAATGTGCCAAATAAAGTGTGAATTAATGTGCGTTAACATCCACTACTGTTATTTTAAGTTGGATCATTGAGATCATTCTCCAGCCTGCTGCGTTTAAATCATTGCAGAAGAACAGGGCACAAAGAGAGGAAGTAAATAAAAGAGCAGAGCTTAACTGATATATCACAAGACAGTTAAATCCCAATACAAATATGGGAAGATTCAAATCGGTGAGACGAAAAATCATATCATGAACCCAGTATTGTGAACTATATTGAATCGTAAGAGGAGTGTATCATTTGGACCAATATGGGATTTTTGACACTGACATCGATTTTAGAGGGAAAAAATTCACAGATTGCAAACAGCTGGTATGAAAATAGACATTTTGTCTAATTGGTGAAGCACACGTTTCAGTGGACGTTTGAGTGAAATGCCTCATGTATGTCATTAGGGCTGCAACTAACAATTAGTTTTGGACCATACAATTTCAGAAAATTGTGAAAAATGTTGATCATGTCCTCAAACGTCTTGTTTTGTCCAGCCAAAATAATTCTGTTTACTATCAGAGGATTAAAGAAACCCTATAATATTCACATTTGAGAAGCTGAAATCAGAGAATTTTTCTTTGCATGCTGCGTTTTGCATTTTTTTCCAATTTCAGATTTTTCCACTGATGTTTTGCATTAGAAAGTGCATGGAAACAAGTGGATAAAACACACTTACAGTCACTTCCAGGAACATATTGACTGGATCACTTGGAGACACATTTCAGTCTGAATTTTGACAAGAGAAATGGTGAGAGTCACCTAAGAGAGTGGGGGTGGCATTGGCCTGTTTTTTAAGAAATATGGTTTGTCTGTATCCAGCCTGCCGTTTTCTTAAGCACTCTGAAGGTAAAAACTGCATCATCACAAGCTGCTACCACTGTTTTATTGACTTTTTGCTCTGGGTTTCGCCTCTCAGGAAGGCTATCTTAGCCATTTGATTGGTGGTGATTGGTGTTAGCCTGACAGGACTATCTGCACATACTACTCAGGGCTGAAAATATACTGTGACTTAAAGGTTGCTGGAATTGAACTAAAGGTAGAAGGACATTAATGAAGTAACAATGCAATTACAACACATAATATGCAATAAATACCATACTTTTTTACTCATACCACCATTTAAGTACTTGGACTCACACAGTTCTTCCAAAAATAAACATTAAATATAGTGAAATGTAAAATTAAAGCTGCAGTAGGTTTTTCGATCATATTTGTCAGATTTTCTAATATTTTTACTTTATTCTGACAGTAGAACATGAAACAGATAATCTGGGAAAAAATCAGGTTCTTATGGCTTGTTCTACCACTTCCAATGGTATTTGCAAGAATCCACCAGACCTGGACAAAAACAACCAATCAGAAACGAGAAATATATAAAGACGCTTTTTGGTTGGAGGTTTGAATATAATTGATTGTTTAGTCTCATTCCCAGAGTAACATAGTATCTGTATTTGACGACCTGGGAATGAGACTCAACAAATCTCTTCCTTGACTCTGATTGGTTGTTTTCATTCGGGCCCAGTGGATTCTTGAAAATGCCATTAGGAGCACTATGGAGGAAGCCAGAGGAACCTGATTTTTTTCACAGATTATCTGTCTCATGCATACTGTCAGCGATATTATTTCAGCAAATATACCAGCATATATAATAGTAACCTACTATGACTATTATTATACATACTTCGATTTTTTAGCCTGTCTGTTGGTACAACCACCTGACAACATGCCATTGAGTCAGGACACTCTTCATACCTGCCACACAAATATCAACAAAAACATCCAACGAAAAATACAAAACCAAAAAAACAAAAAAAATCTCATCTATACACTAATTATTACATGTAGTAGTGTAGATGTTATATAGTTATTATGAGTATGGAGGCTATGTTGAGTACATAATATATTATATTAAATATAATTACTGTCTTCTTGACTATATCATATTATATTGAATATGCATACCTTGTCAACAAATTATCAGAATATAATATAAACCAATGGTTAAACAAATAAAATAATTATATTTAAATAATTATATACAAATATTTAGAAATACCAACCAGAACACGAAGTAAATAAAATCAAAATATAAAATATAAATGATAAAAAAAAAATAAAAAACACAAAACACACACACAAATACAACAATCACCAAAAAAAAACAGCTACAAAACAATACATCAAAACATAACCAAAAAAAAATAAACCAAAACCAACAATAAACAACTAAACAACAACAACCATAACACAAAAAAAATACACACAAATAAGAACTTAATAAATAAAATAAACCAACGAACCGAAAAACAAAATGCTGAAACTATATCCTGACAGTCATACGAATGAGAGCGCATAATGCTGTGAAAAAATCAGGTTCCTCTGGCTGCCTCCCTAGTGCTACCTAATGCATTTTCAAGAATGGCCACTGGGCGCAAAATGAAAACAACCAGTGCAGATACCAAGAAGAGATTTGTTGAGTCTCATTCCAGGTCGTCAAAGTATCAGATACTATTGTTTAGCTCCCTGGGAAATGAGACTAAACAATTCAAGTTATCATTACTCACCCGGCAGACGTCCAACCCAAAAAGGCGTCTTTATAGTACTTTCTCGTTTGATTGGTGTTTTTGTCCAGGTCTGGTGGATTCT